AATGCCAAACTCCTTCAAACACCCTCGGAAAATCAATGATGCTGGCCTCTTCGGGCCTTCCTGGAAACCCTCTTCGGGCACCTATGGCCGTCTTGGAGACTTCTTGGTGGCCTCTTGGGGCCGTCTTGGGCCATCTAGGGCCATCCAGGGCCGTCTTGGGGGCCATCCTTGGCGTCTTGGAGGCCTCTTGGGCAGTTTTGGGGCCCTCTTCGGGGCCGTCTTGGGGTCTTCTTGGGCCGTTTTGAGGCCATCTTGGAGGCCTCTTGGGCGATCTTGGGGCGATCTTTGGGGCTCTTGGGCCGTCCCGGGCCGTCAGGAGGCCGAAAAGAAGCAAATGCCAGAATCCTTCAAGTACCGTAGGAAACATTATGGTTTTGACCTCTTCGGGCCTTCCTGGAGGACCTCTGGGAGGTCTCGTGGGCCGTCTTGGAAGCCTCTTGGGCCGTCTTGGAGGCCTCTTGGAGGCCTGCCGGGCCGTCTTGGGCCGTCTTGGAGGCTTCGTGGGCCAACTTGGAGGCATCTTGGACTCTATCGGGTCGTCTTCGAGGCCGTCTTGGACCATCGTGGGCGAACTTTCAGGCCATATTGGCCGACTTGGAGGCCATCTTGGGCCGTCTCAGGGGATTTTTTGCGGACGTTGTGCTCGTTTACGGTCTCTTCTGGATGGCCAGCGGGACGGGCCGAAGCCCCAGGGGGAGTTCTTTTGGAATAAGGGCCAAAACCAAACCCGTAGGATCTAGCAAGTTGGGCTCCCCTGTGGCAAGACCACAGGGGGCGGGGTGGCTGATATCCGAATGGCCTTCGGCCCATCCCGCCACCGTGCCTGGATCTGTGGTCCAGCGGAGCGTCGGATAATGGTCACGTTTTGTTTTAATGCTTCTCGAGGGTCTTCTGGGATGCGTCCCTCTTTGCTTGGAGTTGTACTACCCAACTGGCACTTGAGCGGTGACACCCGTGTCATCTCGATTCCAGTGGGCCTGAGTACAATTGTAGTCATGTCGTCCGCAAAAGTAGGAGACGAAGCGGTAGTGGCGGTGCCGTTTCGAGTCGGTATGACTTAAGTCGTGCTTTCTCACGACCATTTGCGTCGTTTTGGTTTTGAAACCAAGAGTGACGAACGAACAACACACACCCATACCCATAGGGAGGTCGGAGGGAGAAGGACTGGCTATGGGTATGGGTGCGGGTTGTCGGACCCCTGGGAACGCTCCCGTTCGAGCGGGGACCCCCCTCCGACAACACGCACCCATAGCTCCTTCCGCCCCCCCTATGGGTATGGGTGCGTGCTGATCCTTCGTCAGAGAGCCCAAGCGGTAGCGGCAGTAACCGTAGGCCAGAGCTGTGGGTCCAAGGCCCGTGGTATGGCTGCCAGGGTGCCCCTCCGACCGCCGGCAGCCCCCGGTGCGCCGAAGGGGTTCTTCGCCGAGCGTGCGCCGCTCGACCCGTCCAGGCGCTCGAGGCCCCTGCGGGGCAGCGCGGGGAGGTGCCGTGAGAGGCCCTCTGGGCAAGGCCGCGCGCATGCCGTCGCCCGTGGCCCGGCCGGCATCCAAAGGGGCCGCATCTCGACGAGGCGTAAGAGTGACCTTTCGCCGGAGTGACTTTTGGTGCGGGCACGGATGAGTCCCCAGATGGCCGAAAACGGAGCAGTCGCAGCTGGCTGCGCGCCCAGGTTCGGCCCCCCGCGGCCCCCCAGAAGCCGCGCACCAAAGGTCACTCTTGCCCAGGGTCACTCTTGCGTTTAGCCGTCTGAGCACCACGGGAAACAAGTGTTCACAGAAGTTCAGTTTTCCTCTGGTCACCGACCCACTTGTCCGCGCAGACTGGGCGGACGGCTGGCCTGTTACCTCCCAGCGCACCGTGTTACCATGGTTTAACTTACAGTGAGCGGCTTGAGTAAGGAACCCTTTTCGACGGGGAGGGGCTCCGTGCTCCTTAATGGTTTCGCAGCTTGCCTTGGGTTTTCCTCAGGTTGTCGATACGACTTCGAAGTGCAACTCGTGGAAAGCAGGGGTCTCGTTCCTCATTTGGGGTTCCTTTGGTCAACGCCCCGACTGCATCCCAGCCGCCGCGGCCGCGGCAGGATCCTCTCGTCGACGGAGCGGCGGCTGCCTCTCGCTTTTCCCCTCGGAGGGACGGCTCCCGAGGCCGAAAGGCGCGGCGACGGGGCGCGGCGGGGCGGGGGCAGCGGGAGCGAGGCGACGCGGGGGGCTGTCTCTTCGAAGCGAGGGCCCAACACCACGGGATCCAGGAGGGAAAAAGACACACAGACACCATGAATCGCCGATTCCCCAGGAGAAGGTGGGAAGGTGTGGGAAGTGGGGGGGAAGACAGAAGCCCAGGAGATGTTGGGAGATATGGGGGATCCTTTTGTTTGTGTGCATTTATTTGTGTGTTCTTGGTCCCCGTGAGTCTCTTCAAACCGAGGACCCAACACCACAGGATGGCTTGGAAAAAACAAATCCCACGGCGGAGAGCGTGCTTCCCTCGGAATCGCGTTCGCCACGCGCGCTCGCGCAGGACCCGTGAGCTTCAGCATGTGGCGCGGCTCTGGCGGAGCGCGCCGACGATAGGTTCGCGTCGCGTCGACGCCGCGGCGAACTCCGTGCAGGCTCGTAAGGTGGAACGCCACCATCGCCCCAGAACCGGCCGACATCGAACGGTCCGCGCTATCGGGAAGCTGCGATCGCTCGAGGCTGAGCTATCCACGTGATCGTCAGAAGCCAACGCGCAAGTCGTCACGGCACGAGCCTACCTCAGGAGGGCGTCGAAGGCAAGCGCAATCGGCCCGTACAGGTCTTGGTGCACCGGGCGGAAGATGCCAGCCGAGCCCCCGTTATATTTGGGGCGCCCGAGTTGGCGCCTCAGAGGTTGCCAGGGATGATCTTGGCCCAAGGTGGCCCCCAGTATGCTGTGTCATCCTGGGCCCCCCGGAGCCCTCTGGGCCTCACGCGCAAGAGTGGCCTTTCGCAGGAGTGACCTCTAGTGCGGGCCCACAGTCAATTAATCGTCGACTCCCAGGAATATATATATATATATATATATAGGAAGATATGGGAATGGGTGGGAAGGCAAAGCTCCAGAACGTATGGGGAGATATGGGACATCCTGGGATTGGTGTGTGTGTGTGTGTTTCTGTGTGTGTCTCTGGGTCCCTCTATACGCAAGGGCTCGCGCCCCCAGCCCCGACCCTCTGGCGCTCGGACCATGCGCGCCCCGCGGCCCCCCGGAAGCCGTGCCCCTGAGGTCATTTTCTGCCTGGGGCTCCCAAACGGGGTGGTGACCACACCGTGTGGTGAGTCGGTGGGGATTCGGGGTCACCGCACGGTTTTGGGACTCGAGTCCTTCTTTGAGGACGTCTCGGGCGGCAGGGGCCTCCGGGGTCCCAAGGCCGTGCGGTGACGGACCGTACGGTGAGGTCTCTTGGGGTTCCAAGGTCACCGCACGGTCTGTCACCACACGGTTTCGGGATCCCCAACTTCTGCCTGGGGTCGCTCTGGCGCGTCGCCGACTCAGCGGTACTCCGGAGGCCACCTGTCAAGAGGGAAGAACCGACGCAGACATAATTCGGGGGCGGAACAGAGGAGGGTGATGACTGGGAGGTGGTGGATATCATGGCGGGGGCCATGGTATCTCCCAAGATTTCATGGCGCCTCTTCTTGTTTCATTACGTACCTGGCCCCCCGCTGGGCCGCGCACATGCCGCCGGTCATGATTTGCACCCCCCCTCTTGGACACCCCCCTCTTGGCCGCTCCCGAATGATGAAGCGTCGATTCCCAGGAACATGGTTATGGGAAGCCATGGGAGGTGGAGAGGCAGACGGAGCTCCAGACCCAGCAGAGTTGGGAACGTGCATGGGGAACCCTGGGATCTGTGCCTGCTTCGTTGTGTGTCCCTGGGCCCCTTCCCTCTGGGCCTCCCTGGATCCAAGCCTCGGGACGCCGGGGCCGCCCGGCAGCACCCGAGGCATTCGAGAAAGCCGCGCCGAAATCTCGGCCAGGGCTCCGGGCGCCCGCCGCAGGGGGGCCATACCCTGGATGGGTTATATTTCATCAAGGGGGGGGGTGATTGACCTTCTGATGGAGCCTGCCCGATCCTGCCACCCTCCACCCTCCCCCCCCCCTCCTGATCCTCCTCCTCTTCCTCCAACCCCCTCCTCCACCCCTTCCGACAGCACGTGCCCCGCCCCCCCCCGCGGATGCATGGGGGGGGGGCGGTTCTTGCCCCATCCAGAGTGAGGCCCTCGCGCTGCCCCTTTCTCCCCTGCCTCTCCGCGGCAGCCGGCGGTGCCAAGCATGGGTTCCCCCCCGCGCGCGGGTGCACGTCTGAAGCCGACTCCATCCTCCATCCTCCTCCACCTCCTCCACCTCCTCCTCCTCGGATCTTCTTACTATGCTTATTCTTAGTATTAGTACTTATTCTTCGTATTATCATTGTTATTCTTGGTAATATGGATCGGCTTCGGGGTGAAAGGGCCCCCCCCTGCAAAATGACAGCATTCAGCATACAACCCGAACCCCCCGTAACACAGTGATCTCGTGGCCTAACTTCGGTCCACGGTGTCTAGGGATATCCCTGAGCACATGGGTGGTCTCGTCGGATACATCTGCAAGCAAAAACCCATCCCCAGTGTGTTTGGCCCTCCGGACCAACAGTCACTCCCAAAGGGTTAGGGGTACTCTTAATTGCTTATCATCGTCGCTCTCATCCTGGCCGTCCTGCCCCAGCCCAAGCCATCGCCTCGGCCCCTGGGCGGGCCTCCCGAGCCACGAGGCCTCTTCCTCCTCGTCTTCCTCCTCCTCCTCCTTTCTCCTGCTCCTCCTCCTCTCGCCGGTCGCCTGGTTGCATCAGTCAGTACCTCACTACAGAGCGCTGCCCTCACTTGAACGAAGGGTTGCAAAAAAACCCTTCGTTCAAGGGTTTTTTTGCAACCCTTCGTCCGAAGGGTTTTTTTGCAACCCTTCCTTCCCGTGCCTCCTTGTTCCGTCGGACGGGTCCGGAGGAGCACGGCTGCTGGAAGACCAGGCGGGATGGGGCGCGGCTGGCGGCGATATGCTCTTGCCCAGATCGGCTGGCTGAGCGTCCAGGGGCAGGGGGTGGGCGAGAGAAGATGATGGTGATGATGATGATGCTGATGATGATGATGCTGATGATGATGAGGATGATGATGATGATGCTGATGATGATGGTGATGATGATGATTATGATGATGATACTGATGATGAGGATGATGATGAGGATGAGGATGAGGATGATGCTGATGATGATGCTGATGCTGATGCTGATGCTGCTGCTGATGATGCTGATGATGAGGAGGCGGAAAAAGGAGGAGGAAGAATAGGAAGACGATGGGTAAGAGGATGGGGACAAGAGGGAGGATGAGGCGGTCGAGGAGAATGAGGAGTAGGGTGTGGGTGAGGATTATGGGGGGAGGAAGGGGGGGGCGTTGCGGAGGAGGGGTTGGGGAAGAGAGGGGGGAGCATGAGGAGCGTCCAGCTCCCATTGATCTCTTAGATCAGTGCGTTCGCAGTCACATGCACCTGCAAGCTTGCAGGCGTCTGCGCGCGATTCTGTTTCGCCCTGGGCGCACGGACTTGCGGGTGTGCGGGTGCGGGGATCGGGGGGTGAGCGCGTCCTTTTCTGTCAGTTTTCGACCAACGGTTGCAGCCGTCTTCATCTTCTGGGTTGCTTATGTGTGGTCAATCGCGCACGAACATGTCGCACTCACCCATACTGCAATCGCACGTATTCGGGTATGTTCGTGCGTATGGTAACTTGTATTCTCCGATCGTGTCTGGTGGTCTGGTCATCCCCGCAGCTTTGCTTCTCATTCCCCACAACAGAATACATGCAGGCACTTGTTGTGGTATAGTTATTCTAGTTCTACGTGCATGCAACTCTGCATCCATGAGCCCGCGGGCGGTGGCCACATCACAATATATGCGTGCGCGTGCTCCGCTCTGCGCGAGCGCGCCAGCGCCGGTGGCAGAACGCTCGATCTTTTGATACGGCTCTGCTCGTCGTGGATGACGAGGACAGGGAAGAGGAGGATGAGGAGGAGGAGGAGAGGGAGGAGGAGGAGCAGGAAGAAGAAGAAGAAGACGACGAAGAAGAATAATAATAAGAAGAGGAGGAGGAGGAGGAGGAGGAGGAGGAGGAGGGAGGAGGGAGGAGGGAGGAGGGAGGAGAGGGAGGAGGGACGAGGCCTGGCGCAGCCGTCCGTCGAGACGAACAGCAGGCGCGACGGCCGGAGGGAGGAGGGAGGGAGGAGGTAGGAGGTAGGAGGGAGGAGGGGAGGGAGGGAGGAGGAGGAGGAGCGAGGAGGATGGAGGAGGAGAGGAGGAGGAGGAGGAGGAGGAGGAGGAGGAGGAGGAGGAGGAGGAGGAGGAGGAGGAGGGGAGGGATGGGGAGGAGGGGGAGGAGGACGAGGAGGAGAAGGAGGGAGGAGGGAGGAGGAGGAGGAGGAGGAGGGAGGAGGAGGGGAGGGGAGGGAGGAGGAGGAGCGAGGAGGATGGAGGAGGAGGAGGAGGAGGGAGGATGGGGAGGAGGGCCGAGGAGGGGGAGGAGGACGAGGAGGAGAAGGAGGAGGAGGAGCAGGAGGAATAATCATAATATGATGATGGAGAATACACATAAGACGAAGAGTGTTACGAATAAGAATAAAGTAACAATAATGATAGTCCGACTCATAATACTACATGGACTAATAATGATAAGAAGAGGGCGAGGAATCCGAAGAAGAAGAAGCATTCTAGTAATAACAATAATAATACGATCATTAATCATACTATGAATATGAAGAGTAACAACACGGCTGCTACCAATACTCATGCGACGGTTCGGGGGTGATAGACGCCCCCCTTTCAAACTTGCAAACAATATAACATGAAGGTGATGACTGGCTTTTCCCGGGAAGGAACATCACTCCTTACTAAGGGATCCTTATGAGAAGGGTTCCTTACTAAGGGTTCCTGACCCAGGATTCCTTACCCAGAACTCCTTGCTAAAAACTCCTTGCTCAGGGTTCATTGATAAGGATTTCTTAACAAGGATTTCTACATGAGCATTGCTTACTAAGGGTTCTGGACTAAACTTCCTCATGAAGGATTCCTTACGAAGGAATCCCCACAAAAAAGGAATCCTCTCGAAGGGTTCCTTACAAAGAATTCATTACTAAGGATTCCGTACTAAGGATTCCTTGATAACGGGGTGCTTACATAGGGTTCCTTCATAACTATTCATCAAACAAGGTTCCTTACACAGGAATCTTCAACGAGGGTTCCTTATGACAGATTCCTTAGTACGGGTTCCTTACTAATGGTTCCCTACTAAGGAATTCCGCATCACGGGTTGCTCACGAAACCATTCATTATGAAGGGTTCCTCCATGGCGATTCCGTGATAAAAAGGTTCCTTACAAAGAATTCCGTATTAAGGAATCCGTACTACAAGTTCCGTAATAAGAGTTCCCCACTGAATATTAATTCGTGAGGAAGCCTTCATACATAATTTGTACTGAATACGGAATCTTTACTTGATATGAACTCCTGACGAAGGACTTCCTTTTATCGCGATTTCCTCAAGAAACATTCCTTACCAAGCATTCCTGTTATAAGGACTCCGAAGGGTTCCTTGGCAAGGCCTCCTGAATCAGGAGTCCTTACGAAAGGACGCCTTCATAAGGATTCCTTGCTGAGGGTTCCTTACTCCGGATTCCTTACAATGCTTTCCTTTAAACGGGTTCCTGACTCAGGATTCTTTGTTAAGGGTTCCTGAATAAGGATTCCTGAATAAGGATTCCTTAGCAAGGATTCCCCCAGAAAGTTTCCTCACTAAGGAATCATTGATACTGGTGCCGTATGAAGGATTCCTTGAAACGGGTTTCTTTGTAAGGATTCCTTATTCATGAATTCCACATTAAGGATCATGTCCGAAGCATTCCTTATTGAAGGTTCCTCAATGAGGAGTCCGTCATAAGGATTCCTTATGAACGGGTTCCTCGCGGAGGATTCCTTATTCAAAATACCTTAATCAGGGTTACATTATACAGACGAATTCGTAAGGAAACCTGCACAAATAACCCTTACTGAGTACGGAACTGTTTAAGAATTCCTTAATAAGGACTTCCTTCGTAAGAATTCCTCACTCAGCATTCCGATCAAGCATTCCTTATCATGAATTCCTAAGAGTTCCGGAACATGGATTCCTTACTTAGGGCTCCGTGCGTAAGAAAACAGAGGAAGGGGGAACGTCAGCAAAAGCAAGCCAGAAGCACGGTCGAAGTGCAGCGTGCCTGTTCGAGCATGTTGTGACGTCGTCGTCGTCGCCGCCGCCGCCGCCGTCGCCGCCGCAACTGCCGTCGTCGTCGTCGTCGTCGTCGTCGTCGTCGTCGTCGTCGTCGTCGCCGTCGCTGCCGACGCCGTAGTCGTCGTCGTCGTCGTCGTTGTCGTCGTCGTCCTCCTCCTCCTCCTCCTCGACCTCCTATTCCTCCTTTTCCTCCTCCTCCTCCTCCTCCTCCTCCTCCTCCTTATCTTCTCAATCAGATTCCCCTATCGGGGGCGGAATCAAGCAAAAACATAGGAAAAACAAACCAATCAATCATATTAGAAGTAATCCAGGGGGACTCCTCCCCCGCCCCCCCTCCTCCTCCCCCCCCCAGCAAGTTCCCCAGGATTGTTTTCTGTTTCTTGCTTTTTTGCTTGATTCTGCTCCGTAAGAGGATTCTGATTGGGATGAAAGGAGGAGGAGCAGGAGGAGGAGCAGGAGGAGGAGGAGGGGGAGGAGGAGGAGGAGGAGGAGGAGGAAGAGGAATGCGAAGAGAAGAGGAGGGGGAAGAGGGAGGAGGAGGAGGAAAAGGAGGAGGATGAGGATGGAAGAGGTTTGAGTGGTTTACGCCCGCTGCCATTTTGCAGGGGGCCTCTTTCACCCCGAAGCCAATTCATACTACTAATAATAACAATGATAACACGAAGAAAATGAATAATGTTAATCTTTATAAGAGTAGTACTAATACTAAGAATACTCATAGTAAGAAGATCCGAGGAAGGAGGGGGAGGAGGAGGAGGAGGAGGAGGAGGAGGAGGAGGAGGAGGAGGAGGACGAGGAGGAGGAGGAGGAGGGAGGAGGACGAGGAGGAGGACGAGGAGGAGGGGGGGTGCTCTTTTGGGCCAGGGAGGGTGGGCCTCCAGGCAGCTCGTGCAGCTCCACGGCCTCCAGGGCGCCGCCGAGCTCAACGGCCGCTGCGGCAGGCTGCGGAAGTACGACCCCAACTCCGAGCGGTGGGAGGTGCACCCGGCCCCTGCCACCGCCGGCGCCGCCCTCGCCGCCGTCCTGCCCTCGCCCTTGTCCTGGAGGCCCTCGTCGCCACGGCTACGGGAGGAATGTTCAAAAGTAGTAAAAAAATGTCTGGGGACGATGTTTGGAGTGTTTGTGGCCATTTTTGAATTTTTTTTTTTGACTATTTTTGATTTTTCGTGCAAAACCCCCCTGTAGGAGGACATGCTCGACCTAACCCTTGTCCTGGAGGCCCTCGTCGCCACGGCGGGATTCGCCTCGAAGCTCTGGTCAGGATGCGTCCCTCGAAGCAGAAAAACACATAAAGATAAACTTTTGGCGCTCCGCGCGCAATTCTTGGATCCGCTCCTGGGACCCCCCGGCGGCGCCTCCCGCGCCGCCCCTGACGCGCTCCGCGCGCCAGGGAGGGGTGTCCATCGCGGATCCAAGAAATACGCGCGGAGCGCCCAAAGTTTATCTTTATGTTTTTTTTTCTTCTTGCTAGTCCCGGGGGAGGTCCCGGGACTGGCGGCAGCGGAATTTTTCTGCCTCCCCACACCCGCCCCCTGACTCCAATCCTGACCGTCGCCCTCGCTCATTCCCCCAGCCCCCAGAGGTGCTGCTCTGTTCGGGTGCGTGCAGGAGCTCTGGCGGCCGCGCTCGGTGTGTGTGTGTGTGTGTGTGTGTGTGCGCGTGCGCGTGCGCGCGTGTGTGTGTGTGTGTGTGTGTGTGTGTGTGTGTGTGCGTGTGTGTGTGTGTGCGTGTGTGTGTGTGTGCGTTTGTCATTCGTTACCAGCCTCGAACTTATCCCTATCCTTAAGATTGACACGCCAAAAGGCGATGACACTCTTAGGGATGCGCCCTCAAAAAATAAGGGAATCCCTAAGATTGGCATCGTGATTGGGCGATGCCCAGCATAGGGATAGGGATATGTTCCAGGCTGGTAAATTCGGCTGGGTTGTGGCCACGTTGGGGTGCGGCTTCTCCGGGTGGGTTGTCTTCCCGACGTGGCGTGCGCTCGCACTCGCCCCGTTGTCGCCCCGAGATAGCGACCGCGGATGGGCCCTCCCTTCCCTGCAAGGTTGAAAACACCATCCCTTCCCTTCCCTTCCCTTCCCTTCCATTCCCTGCCCTTCCTTTCCCTGCCCTCCTTCCCTTCCCTTCCCTTCCCTTCCCTGCCCTCCTTCCCTTCTCTTCCCTTTCCTTCCCTTCCCTTCCCTTCCCTTCCCTTCCCTATCCTGCCCTCCTTCCCTTCCCTCTCTTTCCTGTCAACCTGGGCGTTAAGAAAAACGGCATAAACATAATCTCTTCATAGCTCCGCACGGATTTCTCGGATCGGCGTCGTCCCCCGCTGGCGCCGCCTCCAGCGCCGCCCCTGGCGCGCTCTATGCACCAGGGACGCAGGGACGGGGTCCAGCGTCGATCTAGGAAATCCGCTCGGACCTCCGCAAAGTCTTGATCACAGTCGAGGCTGATTCGTAGGCCGACCCTGCCGCATCAGGGGCACCCTGGTGTCCTGCGCTTCGCGACCCATGCCTTCTGCACTCCTCCTGTGGCAGCGCGACCCTCGGAGGGGCCCCGTGTCCTCTCGCGCGTCCTCCCCAGTCTTACCAGCCTGGAACATATCCCTACCCCTATGCTGGGCACCTCCTCATCACGGTGCCAATCTTAGGGATCCCCTTGTCTTTTGAGGGCGCATCCCCAAGATTGTCATCGCCTTCTGGCATGCCAATCCTAGGGATAGGGATACGCTTGAGGCTGGTAACAGTCGGCCCCCACCGTGCTCCCCAGCGGCGCGCCCGCGCCGCGGCGCGCGGCGCGCCCGCGCAGCGGCGCCTGTCTGAGGAGGAGGAGGAGGAGGAGGATGAGGAGGAAGAGGAGGAAGGAGAGAAGGAGGGGGAGGAGAAGGAGGGGGAGGAGGAGGAGGAGGGGAGAGGAGGAGGAGGAGGAGGAGGAGGAGGAGGAGGAGGAGGAGGAGGGGGAGGAGGAGGAGGAGGAGGAGGAGGAGGCGGAGGAGGAGGCGCGGCGGCAGCGAGAGGCGCGCGGCGCGCCCGCGCCGCGCGCGCGGTGCTCCCGCCGCCGTTCTCGGCCCGGCGCCCTCCCGCGCGGCTGCGCCCCCGCCCGCGGGCGCGGGGCGCACCTCGCGTCGCCCCGCGCGAGGGCCCCCTCGGGGCGAGGGCCTCGCGCCAGGGCCCAGCACTCAGGAGGGGGAAAACACACACACAGACACAATTAATCCTCGATTCCATAGAAAACATGGGAAAATATGGGAAGTGGAGGGGAAGACAGAAAACCGGAAGATATGGGAAAATATGGGGAATCATTTTACTTGTGTGTATTTATCTGTGTGTCCTGGGGCCCCTTCAACTCAGGAGGGGGAAAAACACACACTGACACAATTCCTCGTCCACTCCCAGGAAAATACGGGAAAGTATGGGGGTTGGTGGGGAGACCAAACACCCAGGAAATGTGATGAATATGGGGGATCTGGTTATTTGTGTGCATATATTTGCGTGTCCCAGGCCCCCTTCAAACACCCCCAGCCACCGCGCGCCAGGGGGAGGGGCGGACAGCACGTCCCGCAGCCCCGGGCCACGGCGGCACGATTCCTCTCGCGCGCCCACGCAGCTTCGCCTCGACCGCACGCACGACGCGAGCACGGAACCGAAACCGACTCCCTGGCGGGGGGGCGCTTTCCGTTCCGTTGCGATCTCATTCCCAACCTCCGACGCATTATGGATACTACTCTCGCCGTTGGGAATGGATTTTTCGGCGCGGGCCACTTTTTCGGACCCGAGTCATTTTTCGTCGATGTCGCCCCCTTATGTCCCTTCCTCCAGCTTCCCGTGGTCCTCCTGCTCCTCGCGCTCCTTCCGCTCCAGTTCCCGCTGCTGCTGCTCGTCCTCTTCATTCCTCCTCCCCCTCCTCCTCCTCCCTCCTCTTCCTCCTCCTCCTCCTCCTCCCTTTCCTCCTCCTCCTCCTCCTCCTCCTCCTCCTCCTCCTCCTCCTCCTCCTCCTCCCCCTCCTCCTCCTCCCCCTCCTCCTCCTCCTCCTCCTCCTCCTCATCCTCCTCCTCCTCCTCCTCCCTTTCCTCCTTTTCGTCCTGGCCATCCTCCTCGCTCACCCGCCGGCTCTCCCTCCTCCTATTTACACGCAGCGCCCCTCTTCTCCGTTCGTGCATGCCACGGTGGGGTTTGTGGTGGGAGTTCCAGGTTCTCACCACCCACCAAACCACTGCCCTCCATTTTCAGTGGGGGGGGGTCGGGGAACATTGAGAAAACACGTATGGAACCCGTACCCCCCCCAACCCGAAATTCGGGTCTTCGGGTTGGGTTGCGGTGGTCTGGTAGGTAGTCAGGTTCGCTATGGCACGCGCCAGGGGCTGAAGACAATGGCACCTGAGAAAACCCCAAGCAGTGGACATTTTGAAAATTGAAGCTATGGATCTTGAGATCGATGGTGAGATCGATACTGAGATCGGTCGTGGAACCGATCGTGAGGACGACTGTAGGGTCGATCGTGAGACCGAGAGTGAAATCGTTTCAATGAGATCGATAGTGAGATCGATCGCGAGATCGCTCATGCGATCTCTAGTGAGATCGCTTGTGAGATCGATAGTGAGACCGATTGTGATATCGAAATCGATAGAGAAGTGGGTAATGAGATCGATGGTGAGACCGATCGATAAGAGGATCGACCAGGAACCTGGGAACCCGGGAACCTCGCCACCCTCCGAAATCGGCCCGGAACCCAGAACCGGGAACCCGGGAACCCGGAACCGGGAATCCGGGAACCCAGCGTGCGACCAACATCGGCGGGAAATTTTCGCCAAATCCTTCAGCTTCCGCGAGGACTCCTTCAGTGCAAGCACTGATTGGGGAACATCCGCGCAGCGGGAAGGGATTGCAAGGGATAGGATGTCAGTCAGGAGGGGAAAAAACACACAGACACAATTAATCGTCGATTCCCCAGAAAATATGGGAAAACATAGGAATTGGGCGGGAAGACAGAAACCCAGAAAATATGGGAAAATATGGGGGATCTTTTTATTTGCGCGTATTTATTTGTGTGTCCCAGGGCCCCTTCAGTCAGGTGTGGCGCGAGCGTACCTATCTTGCCCCTTTCGACAAGCGTGCCTGTCGTGGAATCCCACGGGCGAGCTTGCAGATACTTTGCACGACTACCCCCCCCTCTCCTTGCTTTGAAGTTTGTACCCCCCCTCTCTTGCACTGTGAAGGCTAAGCGATGCCATGGGGTTGAGAGCTCGCCGCCTTCTGTCACTGCTCACCCTTACTTGACCAGTCCCCAGGGAGTTGTCGGCAACCAGCACCAGCAGGACGGCCCTGCTGCTCTCTATTGCTTTAACTGCCCTGAATTGGTGGTGGCTGTTTAACTTAGCGCCCGTGCAGAACTTTTTAGCTCCTGCTAATCTTCTGCCAGCGTCGCGCTGCTTTTTATTGCTGACAGGCACTGTGCTTCATCAGCCGCGCAATCCAAACAAATCTTCTCGCCTGCCCCCTGCCCGCCCCCCTTCCTCCCCGGAGAGCGCCCGCCTCCGCCGCTGATCGATCCCTGCACCCGAGGTCGACGTCCGGCAGTCGGGGATCAAGCGCCTGAAGGAGGACAACCTGGAGCCTCCCTCGGCCCCCGCGGTGCCGAGCGGCCTGGGCGTAGCCGAGTACAAGGAGCTAGGAGCGGGAGGGGAGGGCGGGGGAGTGCAGTCAAAATCGACGACAGGGACGGGATAGCCTTCCCAAGGGTAGCCTTCGCATCGTTGCCTCGATGGTCCATCCGTCACCGCTTTCACTGGCCAGCCCCGCTCGAAGTGCTTCGACATGGGCGTGCAAGGGACTTGCATCCTTACCGCGCATCTTTACTGCCAGTTTTGTGTGTAGAGCGCGTTTTTTATTCTCAGTCCCAAGCGGTCACGGGCCTGTCACGTCACGATCCGCGACGGCGCCGTCTGGATGGGAAGTCCTGAGGATGCCTTATTCCCAGACAGTGCCAGCACGAATCGTGGCTTGACCAGGGGGGGGGGGGGCGGGCTGGACACGGGCGTGACCGCGAATTATTTGAGAATGGGCTTGACATGGGGAGAGTCGTCGTGGCTCCTGGTCCCCAGTGAGCGAAAGATAGCCCCAGAGTGAGCCCAGCGTGGCCCCAAGTCAGTCTTGCCCCCGTTTGAGGCAAGCCGACGTCGAGATGAAGACACGCTATGTGCCGTGCTGGCGACAAACGGAAGTTTACAACTTCGTGCTATCGCACGCTTTGCTATCACGCGCGTTATTTTGTTCTACCAGACTGGTTTTACAATGCTCTGCTTTGCCGCGTAGAAATGCAGTCGGTTCCTTTTTTGTGCCTGCGCGACGACGCGGCATGACGCGGCCTTCGCTGCCTCACATCAGTAGCTGCAGGGCAATGCGTAGGTAGCTTCACCCACGCGTTGCTACGCTCGACGGCATGCGCCCTCGCCCCCCAGAAAAAAAAACCTGCTCGCGCACCAGCTGGGTGCCCTCCCGTGGAGCGCTCCCTCTGCTGCGGGGCGCCCGCCGCCCTGCCCCCCTTGCGCGCCGTCCACCCCCCCCGGGTGGCGCGCCAGGCCGCCCGGCTGGCACCCTCTCCACCTGCTGCGCGCCAGCCTGCTGCGCCCCAGGCGTCCTCCCATGGGCGCGCCGTCCAGCCTGCGTGGGGCGCCCTGGAGCGTTCTGCCCACCCGCCCCTGGGCTCTGCAGGCTGGCCGCCGTCCCTGCCGGCAGCTCCTGCTGCCCCACATGGGGGACGCCGCCGTTGTGGCTCTCCCCCCGCTTGAGCCTTCCCTCCGGTCGGGGGCCGCCCGTCCCTTTCCTGGGCGCTGGCTGGGCGCGGATCCCTGGCTGTGATGCGTGCGCTGGCCCTGGGATGGCTTTTGCTTCTCCCCCCCTCCGCCCCCTGCCCCGCCTGCACCGCCAAGCTGCAAGGTGGCGCTCTGCAACTCTGCCGCCGCCCGCACGGCTCTGCTGGCCTGCCTCCTGGCGACTGCCCCAGCGCCTGCTGCACCGACCGCGCTGGCCTGCTTATAGCCCGCCGCTGCGCGCTTCAGCTGCCGCCTCCCTGCACCTCCCGCCCGGCCGCCATGGTCCGCCTGCCGCCCGCTGCTCCCGCCCCCCCGCTTGCTGTCCCTCGCCCTCACTGCGGCTGCTCGCCCCCGCCCCTGGGTGCGCCCACGACGCCGCCCCGCGCCGCTTCCAATGGGGTGCCCCGCAGCCTGGCCGCCCCGCGCTCCCCGCGGCGCCACCTCCTGAGAGTGCCCCCTCCCTCCTCCCTCGCCGCGCTCTTCTGTCCCTTCCCCTTTTGCATGCGGGACAATTCGCAACTCCGCAGCCCGGATTTGCTCCAAACGCGAGCGGATCGCTTTTGCCGCGCCGCGACGGGGAAACAAACCTTGTCGTGCAGTGCAACGCGTTGCACTCGCATCGCGCCTTGCGTCGCGTTGCGTTTCGTTGCTTGGTTTGCGGCCCTTCGCTGTGCTGGGCCTGTAGTCGCTTTGCTGGATTCTGTTTCCAGGCGGATCCAGGTTCAACCCTGTGCCCGCACGTGACTGGATGATTGGTCAACGTGACAGGACAGCTCGGAGAACACACGTTGGGCCACCTGCGAGCGCCCGCAACCGCAACGACGCCCGCACCTGCACCCGCAGCCGCCACCGCAACCGGGTGAACACACTTCGGCCACTCGCCGGCGCCGGCAGCCGCGCCCGCAGCCGCGACTCGGTACCGCACGCGGGGCGGCCCGCGGGGGGCACGCGCCCGCCATGGCAGGCGCACCTCGGGAGTACAGCTCTGCCGCCCGACGACGGCATTTGGGCGTCCGCAGCCGCGCCCGCACCCGCGCCCAAGTCGACACCAGGGGCCACGTGTCCGGCCGCCCACTGTCGCACGCGCAGCCGCACCCGCACCCGCGCAATGGGGGAGCACGTTCTGGGCCGCCCGCGGGCTCCCGCCACCGCGCCCCCACCCGCAGCCGCAACCTGTAAACACACATCTCTGGGGCGCCTGTGGGCGCCCGCGCCGCATCCCAAGCCGCGCCCGCAGCCGCACCTGGGAAACGGCATTCTGGGCCGCCCGCGGGCGACCGAAACTGCGCTCGCAGCCGCACCCGCAGCTGCGCCCGCAAGCGCAACCGCACCTGTGAGCGCATCCGCAGCCGTTGTGAACCTCCGCCGTGTTAGGCAATCGCTTGGGCCATCGTGGGGCTGCAGTCGGGCCGCTGAAGAAGGAACCCTTTTTCGTTGGGGAGGGGCTCAGCGTTCCTTAAGTGTTTCACAGCTTGTTCCTTTAGGGTTCCTTAGGTCAACGCCCCCACTGTATTCGGAGCCATCTTGTGGCCCCGTTGGGACGGCTCGGCGTGCTCTTGCGCCATCTCGAGGCCGTCCGTGGGGCCGTCCTGGGATTCTGGGGCTGCTTTGGGCCCGTGTGGATGCATTATTCAGGAGGGAAAGAAACACACAGACACAATTCATCGTCGACTCCCAGGAAAATATGGGAAAATATGGGAAGTGGGGGGGGAAGACAACAACCCAGAGAATATGAGAAAATATGGGGAATCTTTTCATTAGTGTGTATTTATTAGTGTGTCCCAGGGCCCCTTCAATTATGTGGCCTTTTTGGGGTCCTCCCATCCTGGAACAGGTAGCGCCCCTTGGGGATTGCTTTCAGCAAGTCGTTCGACATCACCATCGGCCACAATTCAGCACACACACACACACACACGCATCACGCGTTTCATTGCCCCAAAGGGAGCTCCACCCCCGCGCCTCCCCCGCGCAATACTGCGCACCCTTCGCGCGTTTTGTGGGCCCATAGGGAGCTCCACCAGAGCCCCCAGTGGCAGTGCTCACGCGCGTCTCCCTCGCCCGCTGCGGCGCACCCCATCCACGTTTCGTGGCCCCCAAAGGCGCTCCACCGAAGGCCCCAGTGGCAGTGCTCACACGCGCCTCCCCCGCGCAATGCGGCGCACCCCTCGCTCGTTTTGTAGGCCTATAGGGAGCTCCACCGAAGCCCCCAGTGGCAGTGCTCACAAGCGCCTCCCTCGCCCGCCGTGCCGTACCCCTCGCGCGTTTCGTGGCCCCATGGGGAGTTCCACCGAATGCCCCAGTGGCAGTGCTCACGCACGTGGCCCTCGCCCACTGCGGCGCACCCCTCAGACGTTTCGTGGGCCTACAGGGAGCTCCACAGAAGGCCCGTCCCAATGG